TATGTCCAGCTTTTCTCTTTCTCTCTCTCTGTCTCTCTCTTTCATGTATGGTCTTTCAAGCCTTTAAAGAGCTGTTTCATCAGAGTGTGTTTTGTTTGTCTTTTTTGAGACAGGGTTTCACTGCAGTTCAGAATGGCCCAGAACTCACTTTGTTGTCCAGGCTAGCCTCAAACTTGAAGTAATCCTCCTGCCTCAGCCTCCCGAGTGCTGGCATTACAGGCATATACCACCTCATCTGGCCTCAGGATATGTTAATTTTGAAATGCCTATTAAGTGCTTGCTTTGGCAGCACATATACTAAAACTTGAAATGTCTATTAAATACTCAAGTGGAGATGATAATGGGAAGCTAGGTATGTATTCAGGACAGAATTCCACATTGGAACCATAACCTTGGAGTCACTCATGTCAGTCAAAGTTTGGTCGAGGAATTACTAGAGATGGAACCCGAGGGTATTCTACCACTGAGCTATGTCTTTAGCCTATTTCTGTGGTACTAGGCATCAAATCTAGGGCTTTCACACTGAGCTGTAGCCCCAACTCTGTACTAAATCACTGTTTCCCAAGCTAGGGCCAAACTCACAATCCTCCTGCTTAAGCCTCCCATGGTCAGCTTTATTTTTTGAGACAGGGTCTTGCTAAATAGCCCAAGCTGCGGTCCAACTCACAATCATCCTGCCTCAGCCTTTCATATCCACCTTAATTTTTTGAGACAAGGTCTCAATAAATTGCCCAGGCTGTCCTCAAGTGTCTGATCCTCTTGACTCAGCCTGCTGAGTAGTTTAACTGGAAGACTGGATGAAATCACTGTGGTGACAGTGTAAATAGAACAGTCTGAGGACTGAACTCTGGAAAATTAATGAGTTTATAGAGGTAAGGAGAAATTAACAGGAGTAAAGGATAGTGAGCTAGGAAGCAGCAGAAAATACACTCTCAAGCCAGATAAGCAAAATATTTCAAAGGAGTATCAGATGCTGACAGGCTCTAAGATAAAAGAGACTACACCATTAGATTTAGCTATAATCAAGCCATGGTAGGAACATGGAGTAGATTTAATAAGAAATTGCTGGGGAGAAACTGGAGATAATTCTAATTTTGCTATAAAATAGCTCACAAAATGAGAAGCAGTTGGAGGGAAAATGAGGTCATATGGCATGATTTGTGAAATGACAAAAATAGCGTATTTGTGTGCTGATGGGAAGACTCAGGAGAAAAAGGGTAGAATCCTGCCTCAACAGAAAAGGAGGGGGCTTCTGGGAAAATGGCAGGGTGTTGAGCAGCAGAGAAGGAGTCTCTCAGAGATTCGGTGCCCAGACCCTGGAATATAGCAGCATGAGGAAGAGGAGGGAAGTGGGTCTCTAGGACCAAGAAGGGATCTGAATCAAGAACTGAAGCCCATGGAGAGAGTGAAGAGACTTCAACAAAGGAGGGAGCAGGTGGCACCCTTTCCGTAAGCAGGACTCACTGCACAGGAGGGGCAGCTTGAGCCTACAGATGTAGAGTGACTACTGGCAACCTCAGAGCCCCCCAAAGACAGCAGATACCGCTGAGTGCAGGGCTGGTGAGTTACTCCACTTCAGACCTCCCCCAGTAGAGGGCGACTGGCTGATAGCTATCTTGGACAAAAGTCAGCTGAGTCCAGAAATCAGAACATCTCCAGTGTTCCATAGTGACTCCCAGTCACAAGAGGTCAGGCAGACAAGTCCAAGCCTGCAGGAGGCACACAGCCTGTTGCAGGCTGAACAAATCCACCCAGCCAGGTATCAGCCTGACCTTCAGTGGAACTAAAGGTGCAGGCTTGCTGGGACTATCTGCCACCCTGCTATAACCTGCAGCTGGCTTGCTGGATTAATCAATTCAGATCTCTGGACTCTGCCCACATTGTCTACCAGTGACAGCCACTTTGAAGTGGTCATTTTTTAAAATTTTCATCTTCAAAAATTTTTTTCTATATGTGTGAACATAGCTTCGAGGGTTTTTGTTGTTTCTGTTTCTTCCTTCTCTTTCACTCCTGTGTTCTGCAGCAGTTTCTCAAGGGTTGCATGAGCCCTTGTCCTCAAACCTTGCTTCTAATCTCTTACTTCTTTTTTCCTCCCAACCCCTTTTAATTTTCTCATTGGAGGGGAAAGTCCCCATAGTGAGCGCTAATATACTGCACACAATGTCTGGTTGGTTTTGTTATGTAACCACAAATCTAGTTCATACAGTTCAAGGCGGAAAATTAATAGTCACCAGTTTGTCACTTCCTAGGCTCTCTGATGCTGTGGTTATTGCTGATGGATAAAGATGTGGTTTTGTAATACGATGCAAGACCAGTCAGCTGTGAAGGATAAACCTGAGACATACCCAGCTAACAGGATACATCTTGAGACCATATCCTTAAGTGAAATAAATTGGACAAACATGTAAGTACTGTATTATTTTTTGTGAGAAACAAAAAGAATAAATAAGGACCAAAATATATAATAGATATTGTGTTTAAATGGAAAGGGGGATTAGGGGGAAAGAAAGGGAAAAGAAAAAATGAGAAAAGAAGGAAAAAATGTAAACAAAGCTTTTATAAATCAGGAAGGGAAGAAGACAGGGGAATGGGAAAAAAAATGGAAGGTAGGGGAATGGAAAAAAAATATCAAGATATACCATGTACAGGTACAAATTCCCTATGATGAATGACCATTATGTATACCTAAAATGTACTAATAAACTTATTTTTAAAAAAATGGAAGAAGGCGGCTAGAGAACCGCTGAGCCAGGTCCTTAAAATCTAGAGGGTATATAAAAAAAAAAAATCTAGAGGGTATGTCCACAACACAAATCTGTAGTCAGGACAAGGACAGTGATTATCGGGTTTCTCAACTTCAGCACCAATGACATTAGGGCACAAATTCTCTGTGAGGGACTGATGCTGGGGCTTCCCTGTGCACTATACAGTACTTTACAGTATCCCTTCTGTGGTTTTATTTTTTTTCCTTTTTTCTTTTAAGGAGAATAAAACCCTACAATACAAAACAGAATCGAGCTAATCAAAACAAAGCAGGGAAAGTGGTACATAACTTCAAAACAGGACAATAGGTCATCAGCAATGGCTACCATAACGTATCTGGTTATTTTCACAGTGGCTGTCCATTCCCTCAGACACAGTAACGTCAAATAAAACAGACTAAAACCAATCAAAACAGAGCACTGAGTAAAATGAAACAATAAGTCAGAACAAAATAGTGAGAATAACATTGGATTTCAAAAACATGACTGGAGGAAACCCCCATATTTGCCATATTGCATTCTGCCATACTCCTACCAGAAGCTCAGACTATGGCCTTAGTCCTGGTCCTGCAGTCAATCAATGCAAGTGTTCAGTTGTTTTTGTACCTAAGCTGCTATCAACTCAGCCTGTCCTCCAAACCAGCTGGTTGCTTATTAGGGGCAGTAGGGATGGGGGCAGTCCTGATTCTCAGCCCGCATGCCAGTCTGCTTGCGGGAAAGGCAATCTGCCTTCTCTCTTCCTCGGCCCCACCTGGTCTGCACAGCTTACACGAACACCAAACTAGCTTCTTGATGTGCTCTTTCCAGACCCAGCATGGCCTCTGCTTACAGGAACAGGGTCCCACATGGTCTGCCCTTCCATGTTTTGACAACCAAATGTCCTCTGAAGTGCAGAAGCAGCCACACTTGAGAACTTCTGGCTTATGGTAAGAGGAAGAAACACTGAGTATGTGAGCATAGATGCTAGAAGGTAGTCATGTGGTCACAGTGAAATACAGGTAAGATATATGCAATACAGTGTGTATTACTAGAATTTAACTGGAGAAGGAAATGAAAATATGAATAAAGTGGGTGAAAGGAAAGTACAACAAAAGGACTACAGGCCCTGGTGAAGCGACGAACTGCTGGATTCAGCATGTAAAGGGAGTAACCTGAAAAGACAGGACATAATGGTAGGAGAGCAAACTACCTGAAATTGAGAAAGGAGGGAAACACAGGTCCAGACCATGGCTAAGGCAAGGTGTGTTTGAAATAGATATTATAAGGATGATCTACAGGTAGTGATTGTCAATATTGATGACGAGTGGTACAGGTCCTGTATAGTCTAATGCTTTAAAACAGGCATTAAAGATGAAGAAGAATGGTCTGGAAATAATATAAACTAAAGAAAAAAAGCACTTGCGGGGGGGTTTACCTCAGCAGTCCAAGTGCCTGCCAGGCAAGCACGAGGTTGTGAGTTCAATCCCCCGTACTGCCAAAAAAATGAACACGTGTACCACTTCTAGGCCTAGTGCTGCAATGTACAGGGAAATCACCCACAGCAGAGAGGTGACAGGAAAAGCAGTCTGCCTTAGAAATTAGGTCTCAAGGCAAGAATGTAAAGGGAACACTCAGAGAAGAGACTGAGAATATAGTTTTTGCAAATGATTGGCTGTTAGTTCTAGAGGGTAAGCAGCAAAGTTTCAGGACTTGGAAGAGAAGTAGATGGGTACCAAAAGTGGGGTGAAGAAATACATGCCAGAGTGTAATAGGTAAAGTGACTTCATTGTTCTGACTTCTTATGGTGATGTATTGAAGATAAAGGGCAACATGGGATTAGTTCTGGCAGTCAGGATAGGAGGGATACATATACGGGACCCAATCCAGTTTGCCTAGATGGTGTGCTGTAATACTCAGGAGAAAGTGTATGAAGGAAGGACACCTTTTACCTTTGAGTTACAAATTAGCTCAATTTTCAGGACATTTTGAGGGACGTCCTGATTATCTACTTCAAAAAATTAAAGTGAGACGAGGCAGTTAGCTCAGGGCCTGATACAGCAGTATTAGTGACAGTTATAAGACTATGACTGTTAAGAGGATATTAAAAAACAAGAGGATATTAGACCTACAATTTTCCTGTAGCCTCCAAGGTTACCCAAAGTCAGCTAGAGTGTCGCTCTGACCCTTTCCTCCTAACCACTGACCCAATTCAGGGCTAACTCCATATTGGCATTGAGTAACACAATACAATAACCAACATACAAAACCAAAAATAATTTATTGCTGAGTCCTTACAGCTTCTACTGGGGACCCGAAGCCTTTCGTGGAGTCCATAGCCTTCTCTGTGGAGAGGGGAGTCCTGTCTCAGGAGAGAGCTTAGACACTGGTCCTCTGACCTCTGCTTGGGGACTACTACTCTGATCTTGTTGCTCTCCTTAGTCCCTCCATGTCACTTCCACTTCATCTGTGCGATACCTGTGGGAGAACAGGAAAACCTGGTGGGAAGGCGATCCCTGAGCTTTTTCCTTTCTGCTCTACTCTCAGCTTCCTGAACTTTTCTTCTCTGTTGATACTTTTTGGGGGTGGGGAAGGGAGAGTTACCTTTAATAATACTCCTCTATCTATCCCCTCCAAAGACTGTTTCACTCACCTCTGGGTAATCCCAGAATCACTGAGGGGGGTCCTGTGGCCAGCCTGAAACATCTCCCAGCCAGCCTGGGCGATCATGGCTCCATTGTCAATGCAAAATCTGCAAAGGGTGAAACTTGTAACCCAAAAGCAGAAAATAATAAAAATGGTAAAAGAAAAAAGAAATCAAGAAAGGGAGAAGACTTTTACCTCTCATCTGTCGCAAAAAGCTGGGCTCCACGTTCCTGGCACATGGTTTGCATCATCTCCTGCAGCCTCACATTGCCTATGAGAGGAAGGGGAGAATCCATCCTAACCATCACTGGCTAGGCCACCATACTCCATGTGTACTGCGGACTAGGCACTCGAACTGGGACGGACAGGGCAAGTGATCTCCCTCAACCTTTAGTAATTTAGAACCTCAGATGGAAGGTGTCCAACGCCAGGTCTAGGTAAGAGGAACTGCTAACTGATACATACACCCAACGCCGCCTACAATGAGGGCCTCCTTGGAACCACAATGTGCCATGGCTCGCTCTGTGATCTCCACCAGCATTGCAAACACAGTTTCCTGTGGAGAGCAGACAAAGTGAAAATATCACAGAGGCATCTAAGCTCTCCTCTGTCAGATAGAGGCTGCTCCAGCCTCTTTTTTTGTTGGTGGTGTTTGTCTGAGAGAGCGTCTCACTATGTGGTACAGGATGGCCTTGAACTTACTTTGTAGCCCAGACTGGCCTCTAATTCACAGCAACCCTCCTGCCTCAACCTCCCAAGTGCAGAGCGTACAGGCCTGTGCCACCATACCCAACTCCAGCCTCTACTTTCTATCCCTACTTTTCACTCCATTACCTGCAGGGAAAAACACAGATCTTCAGGAGTACACTCGCCTGTGGCCAACATCCGCATGGCTGCATCCTACAATTAATGGGGAAAACAAATGAGTGAACAGAGCCAGGCATGATGGTATATGTCTCTAATCCCAACCCTTGGGGAGGCTGAGGCAGGAGGCCCACAAGTTTAAGCCTAGCCTGGGCAACTTAGTAAGTCCTTCTCAAAACTTAAAAACTTTTAAAAAGGGCTGGGGATATAGCTCAGTGCAAAGGCCCAGGGTTCAATCCCCAGCAACCCCCAGCGCCCACCCAAACCATGGACAAACTTTTCTTTTGCTCCATGCTGTGTGTCTATTATCTAGAACAGTATGTGGCACCCAAAAAACACTCAGTAGATACTTGTTAAATGAATATATTCAGCATCCAACACAGACCAGTACTATATGCAAGAAATATAATGGTGGGGGCTGGGGATTTAGCTCAGTGGCATAAGTGCCTGCCTTGCAAGCAGGCAGTCGTGAGTTTGATCCCTGGTACCAATAAAAACGAAAAAAACAAAAAACAAAACAAAACAACAACAAAAAAAATGGTGAACAAAACAGACACGCTTTAATAAAAGAACATGAAGGGGCCTCAGTCTCCTTACCTCTGTGACACTCACCTCAATGAAAGACAGAATCCCTGAGAATGAGACATCCATCCCCTTTACAGTGTATGGCAGCTCAACTAGCTTCTTGCCACTATGTTGGAAGAGTTAAACACAGTTCACACTCCAGTGCCTCCACCAAACCTACATGCAGGGAAATCCCTCAAACCCCAAAGGCAGCTGTCCAACAGTAAGTCTTCTTACCATTTTGCCATCTGTTCAATGTTGTAACCCGGACTTGGGTCATTGGAAATCTATCAGAAGAAAAAAGTACATAATCGGCTGGACACAGTGGCACATGCCTTTAATCCCAGCTGCATCCCGAGTCGTACAGACACATAATCCCAGTTAATCAGGAGGTAGCTGGGATTACAGTCAGGACTGCAAGTTTGGGGCCATCCTGGGCAACTCAGTAAGACACTTTTCAAAATAAAAAGGGGTGTGGATGTAGGTCAGCACAAAGGCCCTGGGTTTAACCCCCACTACAACAAGGCAGTAAATAGATGATGAAGTCAGATATCCAGGAAGCGTAAGAAGCTATTACTTCCATTCCCACTGCGCCCCAGAAACTCTCCCACATTTTAGGCTACCAGAAGCCTCAATGGCTTACCTTTAGCACTCGAGCAAAGCGATCCAGACAATTACCCACAGCAATATCGATGGTTTCCCCAAAGATTCGGTACCGATGTTCTGAGTAGGCAATGACCTAAGAGTGACGAGGATGTCCGTGAAACCTCAAGTCTGCAAAGAGAAGAATGTCTTTGGCGAAGACAGTTATAAAGCACCAACATGATCAAGTTATGAAGAAATGAAAGCCTAAGACATCCTTTCCCCTTCCTGGTGCTGTTAAGGATTTCCCTTCTTTCAGAGTAGCTTTTACTCTGCTGCCAAGAAGCTGGTGACAAAGGGCAGGAAAAACCTTGCCTTTCTTTCTACTTTTCTGATCTACTCTTTCAACCTAATCATCATCCCTGTTTCTCACACGAAAGCAAGCTTCGAAAGGGAAAAGGAAACCCCACTAGTGCTCTTCTTCATCAATTCCTAAGGCCTCTTATACTTTTTGCACATCATCCTTCAGCCCTCATCCAGATACCTGCCCTCTACCAACTGATGCTCCCACACCGCTTTCATAGGAACGTGTATTTCATCATTAGTAAGTATCTTAACATAAAATTTCAGGACACAACCCTTTCAATAAGCAGGTGACAATGCTGAATAAACTACTGTTAACAATAACCCATCAGTTGATGTCAGAAAAGAATCCAATACCAACCTTACAACGTCATGTAAGTATTCCCAAAAGCTTGAGCTTTACCCATAAATTTAAGATATCTCTAACATGTACAAAGAACTTTTTAAAAGGTTATTTGTATTTTAATGCTCTTAGGAAGAAAATTCTACATATTGTGCTCAATAACATAAAGTAACACATGCAGTTACCCTGAAGAAATAAATCAGGCAGTGGCCCTTAAGTTGTAGTTGCAAACACTAGAAAAAAAAAAAAAATTGCTGGCTGTGGTGGCACACACCTATAAAAATAGTAAGGACTGAAACCCTCAAAACAACAAAATTTATTTACTTTTTGATTTTTTAGAAAGGGTCTCACTATGTATAATTCAGGGTGGTCTTGAACTCACAGTGATTCTCCTGCCTCAGCCTCCTGAGTGCTGGGATTACAAGGATGTACCACCATGCTGGGCTCTTATCATTCTCACTTCTTTTCTTAAAAAAAAATTTATTTATTTATTTATTTATTTTGAGACAGGGTCTCACTATGTAGTTTGGGTTGGCCTTGAATTTCCTTTGTAGCCCAGGCTAGTCTTGAACTCGCAATGATCCTCCTGCCTTAGCCTCCCGAATGCTGCGATTATAGGTGTACACCACCATGCCTAATCTTATTCTCCTCTAAAGCAAAAATTCTTACTCTTTATAATCACACACATAAAAGTCAACTAATGCCCTAATGATTATAAATGTTCTAACACTGCCCAAATCTACAATGTTACAATCTTTGTTGTGAGTCTTCTAACACTTAAGGTTTAGATAAGCCAACTTTGTTTTTGTAGTTCCTAAAACTCGGCAAGAATGAAGCAGCTGCCGGCCGAGTATTTCAGAAATTAAGATAGAGTAGGTAAGTACTCTCAGTACCTGAGTATTTCCTCCACTGACGTATAACACAGTTGGGCTGGTGGCTCCAGTGATGAGGCGGCCCATTTCAATGTGGCCTATACAATGGTTCACACCTACCAAAGGTTTATTCCACAGCTGAGCCACAGTACGGGCCACAACCGCTACAGAGGCCAATGGGGCACCCATGCCAGGACCTACACAGATAGAAATGGGAGTCAGAATTCCAGAGATTAGAAAAACAGGTGAGGTACCGGAGTAGGAAATGGAGTGTGCTAGGGAGAGTGGTGGTGGCACACATGAGACTATTTTAAACCTCCTCAGTTTCCAGCTATACTTTTCCACTGGACCATTCTCCTGATCATACCTTTGGTGTAAGCAATGCAATCAATGTCTTGCGAGGTTAATCCAGCTTCTGTTAGTGCTTCCTGCAGCAAGTCTAGGATAACAGCTCGGTGGTGCCTCGCAGTAGCACCTGGGAGGAATCCTAGGAAATGAACACAGGTCAACAATTACAAAGTTTTCCTGTTAACAACAGTAGAGAGTAGTTAAAAATAAAAATAGAAGTTTGAGTAATGTAGGAAGAATCCTTTCAGTTTTCCATGTTTTCCGATATTCTTTTTCCAGCCTCTGTACATGCCATTCAGCTCTCAGAGACATCCTTCTTCATACTCAAATCCTTAGCCTTCTGGATTCAACTTAAGTGATACACACCTCATACTGTTTGGTGACTTTCTTTGTGACCCTTCAGAAGTCTACACATGATCACACTGTTGTATCTGACATATCACTTTTGTTCCTTTCTTGAGACAGGGTCCCACTACACAGTTTAGGCTGGGTTCAAATCACTATGGAGCCCAGGCTGGCCTTCAACTTGTAGTGGTTCTCCTGCCTCAGTCTTTTGAATGCTGGGGTCATAGATGTGTACACCACAGCTAGCCTGATATTTAACAGTTATACCACTATAATTGTCTGTCGTTTCTCCAGTTAAACCAAAAATACTCCAGAGCATTGGTTATTTATTTTTGTATTTCTAGTGCCCAAGTCCCTAAGAGATTAAATGGTAAAAATACATGTACATTCCTAACAAGCAATCTGTCACAGGGAAACTTTTCAGGTTTATGTTGCTCAACTGCCCCTTCCTAAGTATATAGTTGTTTTAGAGGAAGGTACACAAGTTTTATTACTTTGTAAGTAATATTAATTAAAAGTTAGGATGTGTCCGTACATTTAGTCCTCAAGACCCACAGTACGTTTAGTATTCCCATTTCAAGAATAAGAAAGACATATTCAAAACATTATATAATTCAAAAACAGCAAAGTCAGGCAATTATGTCTTAACACCTAAGCTAGGAGTCTGTTTTCATTTCATCCTAGAAGTTTTAATTCTACTCCTAGCGAACCACCTATTACTGTAAATATCTTACGTGCTGTGTCCACGGCGGGCTCATAACATTTTTGAATGCTCACAACATAAAAAGGACTCAAAATCTGAACGAATAAGAAATTTCAAGTCTCAATGACTTCCAGCCATCAGCCTTAAAACAGTTTTACATAACCTCAATAGCACAGACCAAAAGCCATAAGGGGGGGGGGGGAGACGCGCCCCAGGCCCCAATTCGCTAGAGTCGAGAAAGATCTCAACTTCCGCAGGGAAGCGGGCCTAGCGTCAAGTCCCCACTCGCTGCTTACCTGTGCCCGGAGGCGTAACGTAGGTTCGCCGTGGGTTCGCCAGCACCTTGCCATCCCGCACCACTCCCACGCCAATTTTATTGGCGCTGCCTTCAAAACCTAGCACCGTCGGCATGGTGCAGGCCAGGAGAAAACGCCGGAGGTCTGCTGGTGACCCGTGGCGCTACAGAGTCCCTCACCAGTCCGCCCTGGGACACAGACTCTGCAGGGCCGATGACAAGGCTCAGCAAGCCTAGAAACACAGCAGGGAGCCCGGAAACGGAAACAGAGCTCTGCCTAACAGCGCCGCTGCCGTTAAGGCCCCTTCGAGGTCCTGTCTGCCCATGTGCCCGCGGCGCTGAACGGGCCTCTGCGCCTCAAGATCCTGTCGGCTCCCCTGCTGACCGCTGTGGTCCAACGTAGCCTTCTCACTGTTTTTTTCGCTTTTGTAAACGTTATGCCGTTTGGTCACAGTAGTAAAAGAACTCTTAAAGCCGGCACCTCCACAAACAGCCAGGAAATGGAGTGTTGGGGTCCTTAAGTCCTCTGAAAGTGTAGCAAAGGGTGGGGCTGTCACGTGATTCCAGGCAGCCCAATCACCCGCAGCCTTCGGCAGGACGGGGCGGGCGTAGGGTCACGTGAGCGCGCCTGTTACCCACGTGGGGGCTCAGTGTGCTCTATTCTTTGTGTTCGGGTAAGGAGAAGTCACGTTGGGATCCGAGCTGGTTGGCTGTAGAGTTCTTCTTCTTCCTCTAAGTCGGGATTCTCAGGAGGACTGAGAAGTCAGGACTTCACATTAAGGCTCCTGGTTGACCATAGGGCAGACCTTGCGAGAATGCAAGACACTCAGAAGTGATCTAATGTGGGTGAGGGGTTGAAGGGCCCATGATGTTCGAAGGAGGGCAAAGGATTCAGAGTATAAGGGGCTGAAAGGCAGGACCTGGTTGGGAACTACAGGGGGAGGAGTCTTTCTTTTAGCTTTATTTGATTCTACGATTTCTTTCCGTTTATAGACAACGCGGTGAAAATACTGTTTCGGTGGGCGACGTGGTACAGGTGCCAAGGGACGTTTGTTACAGGGATGCCAAAGCGTGGGAAAAAGGGATCAGTGGCGGAAGATGGGGAAGAGCCCAAGAGAGGTAGGAGAATTAAATTAGCCTCTCTTTCTACAAGTAGGGTGTGGTATTAATAATTTATTCTATGAACGATACAGACTGAGTTACTTTTTTTCAGTTGACCATTCAGTTAATTATGTATTCTCTGAATTGTTGATTAAAGTTGGAAGCTGCCTAGTTTTATTCCGGCTTATTTTGTAGAGCCAGAGGCCAAGAAGAGTAAAGCAGGACCAAAGAAGAACGAAAAAGAGGAAGCAGGAGAGGGCCCAGCCCTGTATGAGGATCCTCCAGATAAAAAAACCTCACCTAGTGGCAAATCTGCCACACTCAAGATATGCTCTTGGAATGTGGATGGGCTTCGAGCCTGGATTAAGAAGAAGGGTTTAGATGTGAGTAGAATTCAGGCAAGGGACGAGACTTCCCGAATGTTGAATGATCTTGGAATTTAATCTTTTTTTCTCATTTTGATTCCCAGAATATAAATTTTCTTTTAGGGAGGAGAGGGGTCTCACTTTGTGATTCAGACGGGCCTTCAGCTTGGTTGCCCATCTCTGCCTCAGCCTCAGCCTCCTGAGTGCTGGGATTACAGGCATGAGCTACTACCTCTGGCTAGAGAGTTTATATGTAGGAGAGGCCTGTATGTCGTTCTTTCTGTTCTATTGCATAGCCCTGTTCCAAGAACCTCCTTACTGGACTTTCTCCATTTTATTGCTAATGGGTGTGGGGGCCCAAACCTATATTCCCAACACTGGGAGGCTGAAGCAGGAGGATCACAAATTCAAGTTCAGACAGGGCAGTTTAGCAATTTAGTGAACATGTGTCTCAAAAAATTTAAGAATGGCTGAGGATGTAATTCAGTGCAGAGGTCTGGGATTAATACCCAATACCTCAAAAAACAAAAACCTTACTGCAGTGTATATGACTTTAATTCCCTTCATTAGTTCTCAGTCAATTTAAAATTGTTTAAGAATTAACTTGTTAAATTCCTCTTGTACAAGATTTGTGTGTATAGCTAGGATTTATCACATGAACTGCCTAGTAAATACATCTTGATCATACTTTTTCGTTTCTACTCACAGTGGGTAAAAGAAGAAGCCCCAGATATCCTGTGCCTCCAAGAGACCAAATGTTCAGAGAACAAACTCCCAGCTGAGCTTCAAGAGCTGTCTGAACTATCCCATCAGTACTGGTCAGCGCCTTCTGACAAGGAAGGATACAGTGGTGTGGGTCTACTCTCCCGCCAGTGCCCAATCAAAGTCTCTTATGGCATTGGTGAGACCCTTTTAAACCACTTGTTAAATACTCCAACCCTGCTTCAGTGTTTTGATCTTTTTTTTCCCTGCTTTTAATACTGATTCTTCATTTCTGGTAGGTGAGGAGGAACACGACCAGGAAGGCCGGGTGATTGTGGCCGAATTTGACTCATTCGTCCTGGTTACAGCCTATGTACCTAATGCAGGCCGGGGTTTGGTAAGGCTGGAGTACAGGCAGCGCTGGGATGAAGCCTTTCGCAAGTTCCTGAAGGGCTTGGCTTCCCGCAAGCCTCTGGTACTATGTGGGGACCTCAATGTGGCTCATGAAGAAATTGACCTTCGTAACCCCAAGGGAAACAAAAAGAATGCTGGCTTCACTCCGCAGGAGCGCCAGGGCTTTGGGGAACTGCTGCAGGCTGTGCCACTGGCTGACAGCTTTCGTCACCTGTACCCTAACGCTGCTTATGCTTACACCTTTTGGACTTACATGATGAACGCTCGATCCAAGAATGTAGGTTGGCGCCTTGATTACTTTTTGTTGTCCCATTCACTTTTACCTGCATTGTGTGACAGCAAGATCCGTTCCAAGGCCCTTGGCAGTGATCATTGTCCCATCACCCTGTACTTAGCACTCTGACACGTTCTCCAAATCACTGTGAGCCTGGGAATAGCACCCCTTCCCCATGCAAATACTCCTCCTTTAAAAATCCACTTTCTCTTGTATGAGAATATGTACCATTTGATCAGGCAGCAGTGACAGGTTTAAGCCCAGAGTGTTTTGTGATTCCCCCTTACGTTAAAAGTTTCTGATGACTTCTGAACTATGTGTAAATAAAAGGCCATAGTTTCAGTCTTGCTGTGTTTATGTCTTAACCTTCAGTGGGGCTACAGATTTTCCTCCTTTTTATTCATACAAGTTAACAACTGAAGAAGGTTAGTCATGACCTTATTTATTTACAAGCACTGGATAAGTCCCTAACCTCCAGAGACAGCAGCCCTAACCCAGCTCAGTTAAATACTGCAACTGGGGGGGGGGGTTGGGGAGGGAAGGAAGGTTGGAAGGAGGAATTCAGGGAAACATGGACTGGGGGGCTATACCCCACATTAAATAATTATATACACATCAGTTCCTGTGGTTCTGTACAGAGCAGCGGCTGACCCCACCCCCACAGGACATGGAATGTGGGGAGAGGACAGGGTACTGAGGTCAGAGCCAGCCCCTGGTGAAGTGCAATAGCAGCAGCAAGGTCCTAAGTGGTGCATGAGAGGGAGGGGAACTCCCCAGGGCTACCCACCCCACCCTGCCCTGGAATGTGTAAGGGACAGGAATGGCTCTCAGGGAGCATATAGGAAGGACAAGGCTAGAACCATCAGTAGGACCCAGTTTTAGGGGCAACACGTTGCCCACTTCACCCTAAACACAGCAACCCTTGGAGGAAGGCAGAAGGCCAGCAGTGGTTTATCTACCCCTCCAAACCTAAGCGAGGGCCTGGTTCCTTCCTACCTCTCCCCTGGGAAAAGGAAGGCAGCTGCCTGGCTTCCTTACAGAAGCCCAGGGAGCCTTTTACTCCAACTCCCTTTGTAGTGTCACTGTCCCCACCAGGGAGGGGCCAGGCACAGTCTGGATCATCAAGGGGCTCAGGAGAAGTTCTGGACAGGGTGGCTGACCTTCATACAGGCCCAGTAGAGAGCCCGGCCCAGACACAGGACAGCCAACAGGATGACAAATGCCCAGGCTGCATATATACCTCCATATCGTCGGGCATCTTTCCATGTGCCAAACTGATAAACAGGAAAAAGGAGAAAAAGATGAGATTATTCTTCATGTACTACTACTGAGAAGCCTAGGAACAGTAATACAATTCATTTTAGTCCCTGTTGTCTACCCACAAGTAAACACCTTCAGGGACATCTGAAAGGCCCATTACTCAGTTCCCCTAGGCAGGAAAATTGTCATACCATCCCAGACATCTGTCAGAATTTCTTATTCTGAGCTAGGCCTAACAGCAACTCAGTCTAAGCAGTTTTCCACCGTCCAGACCTACAGAAAGTTCTTTTCTTTTTTTTTTTTGGTCTTTTTCATTTTTATCGGTACCAGGGATCGAACTCACGACTACCTGCTTGCAGGGCAGGCGCTTGAAAGTTCTTTTCTAATTCCTTTAGAGTAAGTCCCATGACTGCAGCTCATCTGTACCTTCAAACTCCCATTATCTGTCACTTTATTTTTTTTAGATTAACAATTTAGCCAGTGATAAAGCTGAGGAGTGAGAAGGGTTGGGTCAGGGTTACTCACAGCAAGCCCAGTGGCTGTGACTGCCAAAAGTAAGCCAAGCAGGAAGCAGCAGATACATCTCTTTCTTGGATATCTGCGCCCAATAGATGACCTGTGAGGAGCAAACAAGTTGACAGTCATAACAGCTCTGGTGCTTTTGTTCCACACATCACCAAATGGCCAGATGAATCCCCATTTACTTACACTTTCCTGCAATGGGGGCAACGTGCCAAGGTTCGGTCAGTGAACTCAGTCCACTATTGAGAAAGAAAAGGTAATTGTAGAAGGGATGTCTTCCTCAGAACCGTGGGACATGCGGGAATGGGAAATGTGGACAGACTTTCTCAGGATTCACTACGTTGTTCTTTATGGTATCCCAATATTCCCTCCTCACCAGGAAAGTATTCTTGCAATGTCCACAGATGACCCTAACACCCATTGGCTGTGGTTCTGGACTCAGAGGTCCTGGATGCACAGGCCCCAGGTTGATAATTCTTTTGCTATATAGGAGAAAAATACTGTATGTGAAAAACATTATTTTAAAAATGCCCATACTGTCCCTCCACACCTC